TGGAACGAACCGGCCTTTTTCTTCCAGAATGATTCTTTCAGTGGTCGCCCAATTCAGGCCCCTTCCCTTGCATTACATCTCCCTGCTGAGAGAGGCAGTTTGGTCTAGTGGTTAAGGCACCAGGGTAGAAAACGGGAGACAGGGAGTTCTAGTCCCTGGGTGACTTTGGACTGATCACCAGGAGACGGTGAGTTCTAGTTCTGCCTTAGGCAGGAAAGCTGGTTGGGCGACTTTGGGCCAATCACTGAGAGATGGTGAGTTCTAGTTCCACCTTTGGCATGAAAGCCAGCTGGATGACTTTGGGCCAATCACTGGGAGATGGTGAGTTCTAGTTCTGCCTTAGGCATGAAAGCTGGTTGGGTGACTTTTGACCAATCACCAGGAGACGGTGAGTTCTAGTTCTGCCTTAGGCAGGAAAGCTGGTTGGGCGACTTTGGGCCAATCACTGGGAGATGGTGAGTTCTAGTTCCACCTTTGGCATGAAAGCCAGCTGGATGACTTTGGGCCAATCACTGGGAGATGGTGAGTTCTAGTTCCGCCTTAGGCATGAGTTGGTTGGGTGACTTTGGACCAATCACTGGGAGACGGTGAGTTCTAGTCCCACCTTAGGCATGAAAGCTGGTTGGGTGACTTTGGATCAATCACCAGGAGTCAGTGAGTTCTAGTTCTGCCTTAAGCATGAAAGCTGGTTGGGTGACTTTGGATCAATCACCAGGAGACGGTGAGTTCTAGTCCCGCCTTAGGCATGAAAGCTAGCTGGAAGACTTTGGACCAATCACCGGGAGATGGTGAGTTCTAGTTCCGCCTAATGCATGAAAGTTGGTTGGATGACTTTGGGCCAATCACTGGGAGATGGTGAGTTCTAGTTCCGCCTTAGGCATGAAAGCCAGCTGGGTGGCTTTGGATCAATCACTAGGAGACGGTGAGTTCTAGTTCCGCCTTAGGCAGGAAAGCTGGTTGGGTGACTGGGCCAATCACTGGGAGACGGTGAGTTCTAGTCCCGCCTTAGGCATGAAAGCTGGTTGGGTGACTTTGGGCCAATCACCAGGAGACGGTGAGTTCTAGTTCTGCCTTAGGCATGAAACCCATCTGAGTGACTTTATGCCAGTCACTCCCTCGCCAATACCCCACTGCCCATCCAACCACCCGTCCTCGTCTACAGAGTCAACGCAAAATCTGCTCATTTCCAAGAAAACTTTTAATATCCGCCTTTCACTGAAAAACAAAAGCATTGTGAGGGCCGCTCAGAAATTTGGGGCAGGCGGAGGACGATAACCAAGAATCTCGCCGAACGTCAAAACCTTTCAGCTCAATGATTTGATGCAGGAGGGCAAAGAAACGGCCTCGAAGTGCCCCCAGTTGTATTTTACATTTCCCCCCCCTCCAAATAGTTTGGGACAAATTATGATGGAATAAGGAACAAACCCCCAGAAATTGTTTCTCTGCATTTCTCCCATATTGCAAATTCCTACTAAATTGAATTATCGGGCTACTTTTGGGGCAACCCCCCCCCCAAAAAAAAGGCCACCCCGTTTTCCCTGATCTGGTTGCTTTGCTGTTCCAAATGGATGGAGCACCAAGAGGTGATTTTTCTGGAAGCAGGGCGGATAGAGGAGCCTATGATTGTAGAAGGAAGGAAGGCGGGTGGGCAGCCCTTAAGGCGGAAGAGCCAACAAAAGTTAAAACGGTGAAAAGGGAGGGATGAAAAAGGAAGAAAGGAGAAGAGAAGAGGGTGATTTTTTTCCCCCCTTAGTCACCCCCAAAACAAACACACACACACCCAACAATCAGGGCATCCCATTAACGCATCTCGGATCAAATCTTCCCCAAGTCCTTCCTCAACCTGGTGGCCCTCCATCCAGGCGCATTGGCTAGAGGGCTCCGGTGCTGGCTGGGGAGGATGGGGACTGTAGTCCAAAACCCCCAGAGGCTGCAAAGCTGTTTCCGGAAGTGGGCCAGAGCGGAAGAGTTCCAACAGATCGGAAGTCGCCGGGAACGGTGGGAAGACCTCATTTCTTTCCCAGTTGAGCTTTTGCCTGTTCCAGTTTAGCGGCCACGGTGGCATCGGTGCACTTGGAGAGGATGAGCATCATTTCCGCTTCGTTCTTGCGCTCCACAGCGGCGTCGGCCGCCTGGCTGAATTCCCTACGGCCACGGAAGGAAGAAAACGACATTAAAAAGAGTCGGGAAAGGGCTCCTTCAGTCCCTTCGGGAGATAATCCAGAGGCAAATTTTTTTTTTTTGCCTGTTGGAGAGCGCTAAGGGACTAGTCCTCATGAGGGAGCATTTCATAAGCTCGCCAGGCCCGGCAGAATTCCTTGAGAAGAATTAAGGTGTCTCCTTGCCTAAAATGGCGCCCGTCTCTTGTTTTTACGGGGCCTCGGATAAATATGGTGAATATATTTGGATGCAAAGCACTTTTTTAAAAAAAAATTGGGTTCAAATTCCGCACTTCCTCGGCTTTAAAATGACGAATTGGGGTCTCCAAATCACAAATCTCAATCTCCATTGAGATCACCTTGTTCAGAGTTTTTCGAACATGGCCCCTTTAAGAGGTGGGGGACTTCAACTCCCAGAATTCCTCCAGCCAGCATAGCTGGCTGGAGGAATTCTGGGAGTTGAAGTCCCCCCACCTCTTAAAGGGGCCACGTTCGAAAAACACTGATTACGTCCAACTCTTCCTGAAGGCAGGAATCCAGATCCATAAATCCATTCTGCCTTTTGCCTTGAGGGAGGATCGCTCTGGGCCCCTCTATTTTTTTTGGGGGGGTACTCCCCAAATGTTAGTAGGGGTCTCTCAAATACCCCCTAGATGACCTCACTGTCAAAGGAGGCCAAGAAGGGCCAGAGCCCCATATCTGGGGTCCCAGTGCTCAGGAATTTGGGGGGGGGGGAGGCAGGCTGAGATTCCGGGGAGGGGTGGGGCCACGCCTGCTACCTACCCCACCAAGAGGAAAGCCTTGACTTTCTGTTCGGGGGTGACTCGGGCGGCGTACTTCTTGGCTTCGCTCCGGTTGCCGTACTTCATGCTGATCTCCGCAAAGGGCTGCGAGGGAGGAAAGGGGGACCACACAGTGATCGCCTGCAAAGTGCCAGGCCAATCACAGGAGAAAAACCTTGCTCCGCCTTGGTGGGAGAGCTTCCATCAAGGAATTTTAAGAGGGAGGTTATAAGTTTGATAATATTGGTTGAAGGGATGGTCGGAAGCCATTATATTTCATAAGGTTTAGGGTCTTTCTTTTCTCTTTTATTCTTTTCTCCCTCTTTTTTCCTTCCTTCTCCCTCCCTCATTCCTTCCTTTCTTGACTTTCCTTCCTTTCTTGACTCTTTCCTTCCTTCCATCTTAATCCCTCCTTCCTTCCTTCCTTCCTTCCTTCCTTCCTCCCCCCTTCCCTCCATCTCAATCCTTCTTTCCTTCTCTTTCCTTCTATCTCAATCCTTCCATCTTTCCTTCCTTCTTTTTCCTTCCATCTTGATCCTTCCTTCCATCTCAATCCTTCCTTCCTTTCCTTCTTTTCCCTTTCATCACGATCCCTCCTTCCTTTCCGTCTCAATCCTTCCTTCCTTCCCCAGTTTTCATTTCCTGCCTTCCTTCCCTCCCTTTCTCTTCCCATCTTTCTTTCCATGTGTCTTTTACTTCACCTAAAACCTTCAGTAAACAGAACGAAGGCAAGAATTTGAAGTCTGGTCTTGAGAAACGGCTGGGAGTGGAGAAACCATTACTCAGAAAACACCCCACCACCACCCCCTCACTCAAAGTTGACTTTTTTGCCCTTCAAAAAAGTTGTAGTGAAGATTTTGGAGAAGGTTTCCCAAGATCCATTCGGGGAAAACTTGAAACTACAGTTCCTAACTACAGACTTCAACTCCCAGAATTCTCATCAATGGCCATGCTGACTCTGGAATTCTGGGATTTCAGATCCACCTACTTGGACATGCCCAAGATTGGGACACACCACACCCTACAAAAATCCAGGAACCTTTCTGGGATCCTGGTGGTGTCTTTTTCTTGATCTGTCTACTTTTCCCCCAGAACGCCTTCCTTGAACGTTGGTAGAACTCAAGTGTGTTGAGTGAAGAGAGCAGGCCCACCACCGTTGCCCCATCATCTTCTCACCAAGTAGCCGATAGGTGATTTTTTGGACTTGGAGAACTTCTCCAGATCTTCCCAGGCCCCTTGCTCCGCCAAGGCACTGATCTTCAGCCACCAGAACCTGTCAAGACAGCAAGAGAGCAGACCAAGAACTAACATCTATCTCCAACTTGAGGTTCTTCAATGTGTGGGAAGACACACGGACCTTTTTGGAGGAAAGCTGAGTGAGAAATATGTGAGTTATCTCATTCCAGAACTCTGGGAGTTGAAGTCCCCCCACCTCTTAAAGGGGCCACGTTCAAAAAACACTGATTTTGTCCAACTCTTCCTGAAGGCAGCAATCCAGATCCATAAATCCATTCTGCCTTTTGCCTTGAGGGAGGATCGCTCAGGGCCCCTCTACTTTGGGGGGGAGGTCCAACCTTGGCAACTTTAAGTCCTGTGGTCTTCAACTCCCAGAATTCCCCAGCCAGCAAATGCTGGCTGGGGAATTCTGGGAGTTGAAGACCACAAGTTTTAGAGTTGACATTCCTGGTTTAAACCCTCATTGTCTAAGGAGACCAGAAGGCCCATTTCCATTCAAGGGGTGGAGATTAAATAAATTCTGGGATTTGATCACCAAACCCAGCTAACGGTGAGAGGGATCTTGGAGTCCTACTGGACAAGGATCTTGGAGTCCTACAGCCAAAAAAGCCAACACAATCCGACAANGTGAGTTCTAGTCCTACTTTAGGCAAGAAAGCCAATTGGATGACTTTAGTCCAGCAAATGCTGGCTGGGGAATTCTGGGAGTTGAAGTCCGGACATCTTCAAGTTGCCAAGGTTGAGAAACACTGCTTTAGTCCAATGCCTAGGAGACGGTGAGTTCTAGTCCTGTCTTAGGCCTAAAAGCCGGCTACATGACTCTGAGCCAGTCACTCTCCCTCAACCCCAGGAAGGAAGCAATGGCCAACCAGTTCTGAAAAACTTTGCCAAGAATACTATCCAAGATGTCTCGAAGAATCCACCAGCTTCAACGGAACAATAATAATAATAATAAGAATAAAATAATAATTTTGGCTGCTATCTATGCTCAGCCTCAGTGTCCCGTAAGCCACAGCAGCCCTTAAACTGAGATCGATCAAGATCTGCCCATTTTTAAGGTGGAAAAAGAAGAGGAAAATTAACCCAGGTGTGCAAATACATTCATAGGAGGAATTAAGTTACCTGTCCAGCAAAACCTCCTTGGTCAGCTGTTTATATCTGTAAATCACCTGTTAAGAATTTTCCCGGGTGAGTTTGTTCACGTATGTCGAAGGAGGGGAGATGGGAAGCTTGTACGTTACACCTCCCCGAATTACAGGCAGTCCTCGAACTTACAACCATTCATTTAGAGACCGTTTGAAGTTACAGTGGCTCACATTTACGACGGTCGCAGTGTCACCTGATCCTCTTTTGCGACCGTCTGATGAGCCGTCAACGGGGGGCGAGGCCAGATTCGCTTAATCACCGTGAGAAAAAACGCTGTAAAAGGGGGCAGAACTCACTTAACAACGGCCCTGCCGAGCGATGGAGAGGTTGGGCTCCGATTGTGGTCGTAAGTCGAGGACCGCCTGTCTTTTTGTGAAACAGCAGGAATTTTTTTATGAACTTTTTGCTAAAAAGGGGAACAAAATGGATTTGTTGACTTAAGGGCTGGCCAGAACTGACGAGAAAGCAAATCTTTGCATGAATCCGGAGGCAGGAAAAAAAGAGGCAAAAATCCAGTTTCCCCGTGATCCATTTTGGTTCCGCCGGCAGGAAAGGATACTGATCGAAGCTGAGAGGGATCCCAATCTGGTAATCTCGGACGGCATTAAGCACCCGCAGATCTCGGCAGGTTTCGACAAAGTTTTCCGGTGAAAATTTGTCAATGAAGCATTTCCCAAAAGAGGCAGCCTACAGGTAGGGAAAGAACAGAGCAAATTAATTTCCTTGCTCATGCAAGTTTCTAGTCCTCAAGCATAGTGGGAAAGATTGCAAAAGGAATTCTGGGAGTGGAAGTCCACCCATCTTAAAACATGCAAACTGGGGGATTCTGGGAGTTGACGTCCACCCATCTTAAATCATGCTGGCTGGGGGATTCTGGGAGTTGAAGTCCACTCATCTTAAATCATGCTGGATAGGGAATTCTGGGAGTTGAAATCCACCCATCTTAAATCATGCTGGATAGGGAATTCTGGGAGTTGAAATCCACTCATCTTAAATCATGCTGGCTGGGGGATTCTGGGAGTGGAAGTCCACCCATCTTAAATCATGCTGGCTGGGGGATTCTGGGAGTGGAAGTCCACCCATCTTAAAACATGCAAACTGGGGGATTCTGGGAGTGGAATTCCATTCATCTTAAATCATGCTGGCTGGGGGATTCTGGGAGTGGAAGTCCACCCATCTTAAATCATGCAAACTGGGGGATTCTGGGAGTGGAATTCCATTCATCTTAAATCATGCTGGCTGGGGGATTCTGGGAGTGGAAGTCCACCCATCTTAAAACATGCAAACTGGGGGATTCTGGGAGTTGAAGTCCACCCATCTTAAATCATGCTGGCTGGGGGGATTCTGGGATTTGAAATCCACCCATCTTCAAGTTGTGAAGTTCGCTAACCACTGGTCTACCCCCAGCCCTCCCTCTGTTCCCCTACCTGAGCAGAGGGCTGGGCCCAGGCCCCCTGCAGGGATTCACCTGTCCTCCTTACCTGGAGGAGAGCTTTCTGGATGGGCGGGGAATGTTCGTAGCTGGCTGCTTTAATGCATTGTTCCACCGCCTCCGAAAGCAGCTTCTGGTCCTTGATTTCACGCAGATATTCGTCCGCTTTCTGACTCTCTTTCTGATAAGAGAGAAGAAACGCAACCGGTTTAAATTTGGGGCTGAACCGTGGTCATAAGTCAAGGACTACCTGGAGGGAATTGACCACAACTGAGCCCAGATTTTCTGTTGCTGAGCGAGGCAGACGTTAAGTGAGTTTTACACCCCCCCTTTTACGACCGTTCTTGCCACGATGGTTAAGCGAACCCCTGCAGTTTTTAACTCATTAACACCGTCGTTAAGTGAACCGGGCTTCCCCCGTGGACTTTGCTTGTCAGAAGGTCGCAAAAGGGGATCCCACGACCGTCATAAATATGAGTCAGCTGCCATGTGATCACGGGGGAGAATGCAACGGACGGACGTATGAAAAATGACCATGTCGCTTTTTCAGGGTCGTCGTAACTTCCAACCGTCACTAAATGAACTGTTGTAAGTCGAGGACTACCTATATCTTGGATTAATACTTCATAATAAAACTTTTCCTTGAAATTATAACTGGGGCCTTTCCCCAAAATTGCATTTATTTCCGACAGTGTTGGATGCTGCTTGTAAATATCTCTGCAGCCTTAACGCCAGGAGTGTGCAGCTAGTCCTCGACTTACAACAGTTCACTTAGTGACCGTTCAAAGTTCACTTAGTGACCAAAGCTCAACCTTACAACAGCACTGGAAAAAGTGACTTATGACTGTTTCTCACACTTATGACCATCCCCGTGGTCACATGATTTCCATTCGCATGCTCGGCAACGGACTCACATTTACGACGGTCGCAGCGTCCCGGGGTCACGCGATCCCCTTTTGCGACCTTCTGACCAGCCAAGCCAACGGGGGGCGGGGGGGAAGCCCGATTCACTTCACAACCGGGTGACTCACTTAACAACGGCAGGGATTCCCTGAGCAACTGTGGGGAGAAAAGTTCGTAAAATAGGACAAACTTCGCTTAAACACGTTTCTTGCTTGGCAACATCCATTCTGGCCTCCGTTGTGGTCGTACGTCGAGGACCAAGGAGATTTTTTCTAGCGTTTTCCGTTCCGCCCCTTGTCAGTCGCCTTATTTTACCTCATATTCTTTCTGCGCTTCAAGCAGCAAGGCCCCGGGCGACATGGAGGCAATTTTGAAGATCTCCTCAGTGGCCTCTGAAAGAGAAAAGAGGGGTGGGAAGTCCTGACTGTTGACTATTTAAAAATCGGGGAAAGTTTCTAGTCCTCAATGTTCACGGTCGGACTGTTTAAAGGTCGGGAAAAGTTCCTAGTCCTCTTGGTTCACGTTCTGGCCAGGAAAACCCACCTGGGATCTCGTGGAGGAATTCGTGGGTGGAGCGAGAGAAAATGCGCACCCCGTCCAGCTCTGGGACCAGGTGCGAATCCTCACTCAGAGGGTATCTGAGGGTTGGCGTTAAAGAATTGTGGAGCCGGTCTTTGGAAATCGATAAAGATGATCTCTGCTGACACACACACCCCTCCCACCTCAGGAGACCCCCACAACTTGGAGAACTCAATACAATACAATACAATAGCAGAGTTGGAAGGGACCTTGGAGGTCTTCTAGTCCAACCCCCTGCCTAGGCAGGAAACCCTATACTGTTTCAGACAAATGGCTGTCCAAAAGCTTCTTCAAAACTTCCAGTGTTGGGGCATTCACAACTTCTGGAGGCAANTTGTATTGTATTTGTATTGTATTGTATTTGTATTGTATTGTTGTATTGTATTGTTGATGTATTATTTTATTTATTTATATTATTTTATTGTTTTGTTTTATTGTTTTATTGATTTTATTTTATTGTTTTATTTGTTTTACTGTTTTATATATATATATAAATTATATATATATATATATATAATTTAATATTTTATTTTATTTTATTATTTCATTTTATTTCATTATTTCATTTCATTTTATTTTATTTTAGGCACAGTTTGTTGACGGAAAGCCTGGAGAAAACAAAGGCAAAATAGGAAACTTTGATTCTTACCGATTAGAGAGATTTGTTATTCTAGAAACGGCTGGCTTAAGCTACAGCCAGTCCTCGACTTACAACCGTTTCATTCAGCAACCGTTCGGAGTTTCAACGACACTGAACAAAGTGACTTAAGACCGTTTTTTTCACACTTAACGACCATTGCAGCATCCCCGGGTCAACGGTCAAGGTTTAACCTTTGGATGCTTGACAGCTGACTCGCATTTATAACGGTCGCAGTGTCCCAAGGTCATGCGATTCCCCTTTGGTGACTGGGGAATTCTGGGAATTGAAGCCCACACATCTTAAACTCGCCAAAAAGTGACCAGAATCCCTTCACATACAACCAAGGAGGCTGAGATTGAGATTTTTGGCTGGATGTGGCCCCCAAAGTCACGCACGAACCCTGGAAATCTGGAAATTCATATATTCCCCGATGCACAGATTAGGGTCCGGTCTGTTTCTCTGCATCTCGGCCAGCTTCTGTGCAGCCAGGCCAGCGCCGGCAACGGAGCGTGTGGCCCAAAGCCTCACCTGACGATAGAGACTCAACGCCACGGGCTCGTTCTGCAAAGCCATGAAGAAATCGCCCCGGGGGAGTCTGTCCTTCAGGCGCGAGATGACGGTGTAAACTACACGCGGGGAGAGAAAGAGAAAAGGGAACGCTAGCCAGCCTGCTCCACCCATCCTCTCTCGGCTGGGGAGGATGGGGCCTGCAATTCGCAGCCGAGGTAGCAGATTAATTTGCTCTTGCAAAGTTTCTCCTGGGAGGATGTTCTCTCGAGAAGGTTAGGAAAAAAATCCCCCCACCCCTTTTTTCCCCGTTCCTGATTTTGCCTTAGCTATATCTGCAAGGGCTTCAGAGGGGAAGATGGTTCAAATGGGTGGATATTCTGTATTTGTATTGTGATTGTCTGTCTATCTATCATCTATCTATCTATCATCTGTCTGTCTGTCTGTCTTTATATATGTCTGTCTCTTTATATCTATCTATATCTATTAATCATCTATCTGTCTGTCTTTATATATGTCTGTCTGTCTTTATATCTATCTATCTATCTATCTATCTATCTATCTATCTATCTATCTATCTATCTATATCTATATATCTATCTCTATCTATCTATCTATCTATCTATCTATCTATCTATCTATCTATCTATCTATCTATCTAT